ATCTTGAAAATGTTTTTGGCGTTTAACTGCCACAGCTAGGCTTTATCAAAAGGCCTGGGAAATGCCATATAATGAAAGCCTATTAGATCTGGAACAGGTGATGGAACCAGCATTGACAGAAAAAATGATTTTAACCGAGAAACAGTATTTCTGTAAAACCTTTATTCCTTTTTACTGTTGTTACCTGTAAGTTTTGTTTGTTTGTTGTTTTCTTTGTTAATTCTCACCCGAGAATATTTTTTCCATTGATTGATTTTTAGAGAGTGGAAGGGAGGGGGAGAAAGAGAGAGAGAGAAACATCAACATGAGAGGGACACATCAATTGGTTACCTCCCCCACCTACCCTGACCAGGCCTGGGGATCAACCTGCATCCAAGGTATGTGCCCTTGACCGGATTTGAACCCACAACTCTTCAGTCCGTGAGCCGATGCTTTAACCACTGAGCCAAACAGGATAGGGCTTCATTTAATTCTGAACAATGTGGTGTCTTTGGGACCAGTGCTAGTTGTTTGTTCTTAGGGTTCTGTACTGGCTGAGGGAGACCAGCCCCACCCACTCTCTAGTTGCTTTGCACCATTCCTCCCTGGTAGCTGGGCATCTTGTTTACTTCTGCCCTAATTCCCTGCAGGTGCGTAAGTACAAGAGCATGATCCTGGAAGACCTGGAGTCCGCCCTAGCGGAACACGCCCCTGTGCCACAGGAAGTTAACTCAGAGTTGCCGCCTCTCACCATCGATGGAATTCCAGTCTCTGTGGATAAAATGACCCAGGTAAGGGGTAGAAAGTGAGGAGGAGACACAAAGACAAGTGGCACAGGTGTGGCTGTGCCTCAGATGACTTTCCTTAGTCTTGTCCTCAATGATACCACTAGAGTGAGATACAGCCTAGAGCTGATCGTGAAACAGGAGAAGCCTTGGAAGAGAAAATGTTGTGCCAGAAGAATGCTCCCCACCAGGGGCATGGATGTGGCCTCCTCCTTCTGCTGGCAGTTTTTACTGCCTCTTGGGTCCTTGGGTTAGCTAACGAAACTTAGCTTGGAGTTGGTTTGGAAAGGAGACTGTTAGGACTTGGATGAATCACAGTAAAGTGGGGCAAGTGACTTTTAGTCTCTTTGGGCTGAGCTGCTCCTCTGTGTACATTCTGAGTCCCACCACATACTGCCAAGGAAGGCTTCCCTCTCCAGGGAATGAGGACGGAAAGCTCAGAAGGACACCTCACTGACTCATTGCTCTCCTACTCTTCCTTTCAGAAGGAAGTCAGAATGTTCTTAGCCTGATACATCAGGAATGTTGCTGAGATTGTTTCTTTAAAAATTTTTAACTTTAAAAGTGATAGCTTAAACAAAGCTAACTGCCTTTTTATATATATTTTCTCACCTTGTTTTCTTAATATATGTTGCTAAATTCAGTTGTGAGTTTTCTTTCCTTTTCCTATCTTCTCAGCAGCATTTACCATAGTTGATTATTTCTTTCTTCTACACAGTTTCTGTGACCCCCACATTCTCCTGAATATTCTTCTACTCAGTGGATCCTCCCTCTTCTGCTGGCTTTTCTTCCTCTTCTTACCTGGTCTATGTTGGCATGTCCCAGGGCTCTATCTTTATTTCTCTCCAAGTGATCTAATCCTGTCCTGTGGACTTTCTATCCCATCTATATTCTGTGTGCACCCCAGCTTATACCAATTACTGTTAGAATCTTAATACCAGGTGTTCATAACAGAACCTATGAATGCCCCCACCCACTGCACTCTCCAAATCTCTTCCTCCCCTAGTATTCCCATGTCAGTTAATGGTGCCATTGTCCATCTGGTTACTCATATCCCATCATAGGAGTAAATCATTGATTTCCCTGTTTTGCCCTCACTCCCCTACCAACCACATCTAATTATTAGCAAGTCATGTCAATTCACCTCAAATATACCTTGAATCTGATTATTCTTCTCAGTTCCCATCACACCCTACAAGCCTTCAGCATCTCTCACATAGGCTTGTTTAGTTGATCGATTTTGTTGCCACTCTTGTTCTGCTACAGGCCATGCTCAACAGAACCACCTGAGATTTTTTTTAAAAAACAACCCACAAATGAGGTCATGTCACTCTTGTTTAAGCTCTTTAGTGGCTTTCCATTGTTTCTTGGATCAAATTCAGATTTTGTCATGGCCTCTGAGACCCTATGTAATATGGCCTCTTTCAAACTCATTGTCCATTCTTTCCCTCAGTTAGTGTGCTATTGCCAAACTAGCCCTCTTTCTTTTTGTTAGACACCCAAGTGAATTCTTTTACTTCTGCTATTCCCTCTGTCTGCAACATTTTTCTCCCAGAAATGTAGCTCAGATATCACCACCTTCTTGTCTTATCTAATGAAGTTTATTTCTCCCATCAAGGCACTACCTAATACATCCTGTATTTTATTGTCTTTGTATCATAAGTTCTCACTTAACATTTTTGATAGGTTCTGCAACTTTAAGCAAAATGACATTCAAGGAAACCAGTTTTACTGTGGGCTATTGATATAAACAAGAGTTAAATGGCTATAGCATCTCATCAATGTTATAATGAGATGGCATTATTTGAGGACCTGTTGCACTTATCTCTGGTCTGTCTTTCTAGTAGGGTCTTAGTTTCTGTTTTTCATTACTGTCCAGTACAGCTGCCTAACACCTTATAACATCTGTATTCTAAATAATACTTGGTCAGTATCAATGTCAGAGCAAAAATGAATCCAGTGTAGTGGGTAACTGAATTGTGAGGTTCCTGAATGGGATTCGCTCGGTACAGACATTGATGCTGCTGCTAGGGAGGGACACTTTTCTTCCTTCTAAGTCTGAACTAGAGACTTGGTCTGAAATAAAACAACATTTTATAAATATAAAGCTAAATTGAGATCTTTCCATGGATACTTGAATGATCTCTAAATAATGGTTCAAAAAGGAAGGCATTATCTAAACTTTTTTCCTGCCATTTCGTACCTGCTATTATTCTGTTCTTAGGGCCATTCTGACTGGTTAAAGAAAACATGAGGTGATTTTTTTTTTTTTCTTCAATTGATGTAAAGAATTTACTCAGTATCTCATCTAAAGTCGAATAAGCTTCTGATTGAAAATGCATTTAGGCCAAGACCGGTTTGGCTCAATGGATAAGGGGACTGAAGGGTCCCAGGTTCGATTCCGGTCAAGGGCATGTACCTTGGTTGCGGGCATATCCCCAGTAGGGGGTGTGCAAGAGGCAGCTGATCGATGACTCTCTCTCATCGATGTTTCTAACTCTCTATCTCTCTCCCTTCCTCTCTGTACAAAATCAATAAAAATATATTTTTTTAAAAATGCATTTAGGTAGAATCCTGTCCTGTGATGGGCATTTTTCCCCTCTTGTCAAAGTTGAGGCTCTAGGTTGAAATAATCTGGATACTGATAATCATGAGAATTGGCTAATGGCCACAAAAGTCGGAGCAAATAGTTTGATTGTGTTAGAGATAAAACATTGCTGTTTCCAGTTCTCAACAAAATATTAGCAAAGAGGATCCAACAATACATTAACAGGATCATATACCATGATCATGTTGGATTTATTCTGGGGATGCAAGGTTAGTCCAACGTTCTCAAATCAATAAATGTGATATACCACATAAATCACATAAAAAACAAAAGATAAAAACCACATGATCATAGCAATAGATGCAGAAAAAGCATTTGATAAAATCTACCATCCATTTATGATAAAAACTCTCAGCAAAGTGGAAATAGAAGGAACAAACTTCAATGTAATAGAGGCCATGTGTGACAGACCCACAGCTAACATCATACTCAGTGGAAAAAAACTACAAGCTTTGCCCTTAAGATCAGAAAAAAAAAAGGGATGTCGGCTTTCCACCACTCTTATTCAACATAGTACTGGAAGTCCTAACCATAGCAATTAGACAGAAAGAAGAAATAAAAGGCATTCCAATTGGAAAGGAAGAAGAAAACTGTCATTATTTGCAGATGACATAATACTGTTAAGAGAACCCTAAAGACTTCACCAAAAAAACTATTAGAATTGATAATGAATTCGGTAAAGTAACCGAATACAAAATAAATATCTAGAAATCAGTTGTAGTTGTGTACATCAGTAATGAACTATCAGAAAGGGAAACTAAGAAAACATCCCATCCAAAATTACCTAAAAAAAAAACCCTGCAGGAATGAACTTAACTAGGAATGTAAAAGACCTGTACTTGGAAAATAAGACTGAAGAAAGAAATTGAAGAAGATACAAATAAATGGTAGCATATACCATATTCACGGATAGGAAGAATTAACATCATTAAAATGTCCATACTACTGCCGAGCCAGCGTGGCTCAGTGGTTGAACATCGATCTATGAACCAGGAAGTCACAGTTTGATTCCCTGTCAGGGCACATGTCCGGTTGTAGGCTTGGTCCCCAGTGTGGGGTGTGCAAGAGACAGCCGATCATGATTCTCTCTCTCTCATCATTGATATTTCTATCTCTCCCTCTCCCTCTCTCTCTGAAATCAATAAAAATATATTAAAATAAATAATAAATAAATATAATGTCCATACTACCCAAAGCAGTCTGTAGATTCAGTGCAGTGCCTACCAGGATACCAAAGTTGTGTGTCACAGAACTAGAATAATTATTCCAAAAATTTATATGGAACCACAAAAGACCTACTTGTATAAGAAGTGAAGGAGGTTGAGGAAGACTTAGCAGAAGAAATTTTATTATAATTTAGTTTTCATTCTCCAACCCCAGAATCCATTTACTACAATGAAATAATAAAGTCCTCTTTTTCAGGGATTTTGAAAGCCAGGTTAGTAAAATTTCTAGAATACTTCAGACCAGAGACATGTTTCTCAAACTCAGCATGCATAGGAACTACCTGAAGTGTGGTTTGTTTAAATGCAGACGGAATCAGGAGGTGTGGGGTGGGGCCCCAGGTTCTGCCTCGTAGCAAGCTCCCAGGTGATGGATGCCTAACCTGCTGATTCCCAGAGTACACTTTGACTCGAAGGAGTGTTTTTAGAGAGTCTTTAAATAATAATAATGATTTTGCTAGTGGAAAATCAGTTCAGCTCTTTGCCACATTTGAGTCCTATAGGATTCTCTTGTTCTTAGAGGTTGTAAATATTTTTGGAACTTGTGTTAGAAGAGATTCAGGCAAACATAATTACAGAAGAAATATCTCTGGAAAAAACAGTTTATTGATTAGTTGAAATATACTCTTTTTTCCCTTCTCTGTTCCCTATCCCCACCTTGAACTTACTGTCCTCTCTTACTCTCACTGGGGCAGTCTTCGTTGCTTTAATATTCCCTTGGAGTGATGATGCAACAGGATAGTAATTCTTCATCAGATTATAGGGAAACCTTCAGAAACATTCGGCACATGATTGCTTCATTAGGAAGAAGTTACTCACCGGGCTTGACATGTTTTACTTAGAAAACATTCATTAGTTTTCAATGTAGGTTTTTTGAGTGTTGTTCTGTTTTCTTCTACTCAAAGAGTAGAAGCATTATGCTGTGTGAAACAAGCCAAACACAAAGGACAGGTATCATGTGATTCCCCTTACTAGTACATGAGCTATCTAGAATGGAAAATTCAGAGAGACAGAAAGTAGAGGAGAGGTTACCAGGGGCTGTGGAAAATAGAAATGGTAGTTACTATTTAACGGGTACAGAGTTTGTTTGGGTGATGATGAATAAGTTCTGGAAATACATAGTAGTGATGGTTGTACATATTATGATTGTACTTAATGCCAATAAATTATATATATTAAGTGGTAAATTTTATGTTGTGTATATTTTGCCCCAATATAGAAAAGTATTTTGAAACAGGGCTAGATAAAAAGTATTTCATTTTAGTGGTCCTCTAACTTGGCTGCACAATAGAATCACTTGGGGAACTTAAATCCTAGTGCCAGGCCACACTTCAGACCAATTAAATCAGAATCTCTGGGGATGAGATCCAGGCATCTGTAGGTTTAATGTCCCAAGGCAATTCCAATGTGCAACCAACTTTGAAACTGCTGCTTCTTACTATAGTGTCAGCATCTATATGCAAGGTTTTCCTTACTGTCTAAAATTATTTTTTTTTAAGTGTTTATGGATATGGTACCATTCCACATTTTGTAAATATTAGATAGGGAGGATGAGGTTAAGAGAATATAAAAGTAACAAAAAACTCCTCTTAAATAGGACATAGCTTATTGTGACTAGAGTAAAAAAAAATAAGGGTATATTTAGGAATACTAGGGGGAGGGTATATTTAGGAATATTTAGGGTATATTTAGGAATACTAGGAATATTTAGGAATACTAGGGTATATTTAGGAATACTAGGAATACTAGGCACATAAATTTCATATTCAAGATATAACTAGACTAGGGGAAAATACTTACAAATTATATGACAAAAATTAATGTTCAGAATAGATTAATATTTTCTTCAAATTATTAAGAAAAAGATAACTAGAAAAAAAAGATAACTAGAAAGCAAAGCATTCTAACCAGTTCACAAAAGAAAAGACCATCGATAAACATATAAAAAAGATTCTCATCCTCATTAGTAATGACAGTTAAACAACTTCACCCAGCAGTGAGGCTCAGTGGTTGAGCTTTGACCTATGAACCCGAAGGTCACGGTTTGATTCCCTGTCAGGGCACATGCTCAGGTTGCAGGCTCAATCCACAGTAGGCGGCCTGGGGTGTTTAGGAGGCAGCCAATCAGTGATTCTCTCTCATCATTGATGTTTCTATCTCCCTCTCTCTTCCTCTCTGAAATCAATTAAAATGTATTTAAGAAATAAATATAATAAACAATTTCTTCCACATCCAATGAGCCAAAAAAAGAAAGCTTGGTAATAAAACGTGAAGGACAGTATGAAAAAGTGAGGATCGACGTGCATTGTATATGGGATTGGGATTGGCAATGTCTTTTTGATAAAATGTTACATGCTGCCTTAACTGGTTTGGTTCAGTGGATAGAATGTTGACCTGCGAACTCAAGGGTCCCAGGTCCAATTCCGGTCAAGGGCACATAGTACCTTGGATTCGGGCACATCCCCAGTAGGGCGTGTGCAGCAGGCAGCTGATTGATGTTTCTCTCTCATCGATGTTTCTAACTCTGTATCCCTCTCCCTTCCTCTCTGTAAAATATCAATAAAATATATATTTTTTAAAATGTTAAGTGCTTATCCCCTTGTTAGCAGGCAATTCCACTTTCTGCTACACACGTGTGCACAAAGAAGCCTGTACATGCACTATAAACCTAAATATTTATCAATAGAACTGTTAAATAAAATGGGAAAATCTACACCTTGGATACTAGGCAATTATTTTTTAGGGAGATTATTCTAGTTGTATTATCTAATAAGATCTATATGTTGAAATGTTGAGTGGAAAAAGTGAGTTGTACAGTATGGTACCATTTGTGTTTTTTCTCACCACATCAAACTGTGTCTTTCCAGTTATATTTATGTAAATGCATAGAATTTGGCCAATAAGGAAGGATGTTTATCAAACAAATGCCTCTGGACAAGTGACTAGATTGGAGGAGGGTGAATCAAAAAGAGGACTTGGACTTTATTTAAATTTTTATACAAAAGAATACGTCTGGTATAAGCTAGCAGAAATTGACCAATGTGAGACTCGAAGAGAAGGCAGAGTGGTAAGAGCATTTTGATTAATGAGAGTGACCATTTGCTAGTTGGTTGGGTGTGGAGATAGAGGAGCAGAAGTATTGGCTTGAAAGAGGAGTCTTTAAATGGGTATCTTCACTGGCTGTCCCTTGCATTCTCTAAACTTACCTTTCCTTCCGGAGTTCTTCCCCTGTTGCTATAGGAATGTGTTTAATGGGAAAGTAAGATTGAGAAGCCAGTTTTTCTGCCGGCACAGCCAGGGGGTGGCGTTTCTAATAAAGAAAGCCACTTTCATTCTCTGAGTAGAATTCAGTGATAAAGATAATCCCAAATAGTGAGCAAAAAGGTCATTTTGATTTCCTCCTCTGTCCTTTAAGTGTTTATGTGAATATGATTTGGTCTGTCAAGTTCATAATTTAAATGGAAATAATGAAGTTATAGTTTGAAAATTTTCCAGTTTTTCTTCCCTGCCACATTTCTGTTTTCCTGTAAGCTATAGTTAAAGTCACCCTTCAACATGATTTGTTTTCAGCAGCCTTCTCTGTAACCTGTTACATACTAGAGACCTGATCCACGAAATTCGTACAAGGGACTCATTCCTCGCAGCCCCAGCTTTGTCTGGAAGGTTGTTCAGCTGTCTGGTATAATTAGCATATTACACTCCTTATTATAGATTCTTTGACCTCTTTAGTAGAGGAGATTTGGCTAACATTTTGTTTTGAAAAGCCTTTTCTTGGGACTGAAAATAAATGGACATCAGGAGCCTCAAAATCCTTAGACTAGGGTACATGTAGAACAAAGAAGGAATGAGAAAGGAGTATTTGGGAATATATAAAGATAATGCAATGTTGGACAACAAAGAATTTAACTGAATTTACAAGTGGAAAACTTCTAGGAGAGTAAGATTTATTACATCATTTTAGCCAGATTAAACTTTTTAGAGTTTTAGAAAATCTTTTTTAAAACCATCTGTGGCTTCCACATAATCTTACCTTTTGACTACCACTGGCATGAATTTGACACCATTTTTCTTTGCTGAATGTGCCCTGGATGGAATGATATTTTCTACTCTTTGCTGGTTTGAGGTGGTTTTACTGAGAAAGCTGGGCACTTTAAGCCAATCTAGAGGTCGAAAATTAGAATAAGGGCCAGGAAAGCTTTTTGCTGCCCAATTAGAGGACAGCCTGCGAAGGCAGGCTTTACCCTCGCTGATCCTGTTGATTGTCTCCCCTGCGGATTAAAGACAAACCTTCTTTAACAAGCACATTGAATAGCTTGGGTTTCCAAAACTCTCCAGCACCAGTAATTAATCCAACTGGTAATGAGAGCACAGTGCTGAATTCTTGAAAGAATCATTTAACTCTTTCTCTGCTGGACAGCTCATTTCCCTTATTGATGGCTCGTAGCCTTAACACTGTTTACGTGGGGTAATATAAAGATAGACTGGTAGAAAATGGCCTTTTTCAGTTAAATCATACTATCTCTGTGTACTTAATGTCCTTTATCCCCTAAGTATATGTACTTAAAAAGTGAACTTCCATATTAGAAAGTGCTTTTTTACCTCTTGTTTTGATATAGAAGTTTTGTGCAGTTGATAATTAGTACTTTTAAAAAGCTAAGATCTGCTTCTGAATAGGAATTTGTACACCAGCCATTAATTTCACTGTGGTTCTTTTTAAAAAAATATATTTTATTGATTTTTTTAGAGAGAGGGATAGAGAGTTAGAAACATCGATGAGAGAGAGTCATCAATCAGCTGCCTCTTGCACACCCCCTACTGGGGATGTGCCCACAACCAAGGTACATGCCCTTGACCGGAATCGAACCTGGGACCTTTCAGTCTGCAGGCCGATGCTCTATCCACTGAGCCAAACCGGTTTCGGCTGTGGTTCTATTTTTTAACTTAATAGGGGGTTGGCCTGTGGACATAACCTTTCCTTTGGGCTGCTTTTTCCTGTCTATCTCTCCTTCCTGTGAGTTTGAAACATTTCCATCCAGAGATTTCTGGCACACAAAACATCTTTGAGATGGAGGACTAAGCGAGACGGGCCAGACACACCCTGGAGCCCTCCTGCAGCCTCTCCCCAGTTGGCCAGCCTCCTGCGTCCCTCCCTGCCACCAAATGTGCATGGTGGGATCCCTCGGCCTGGCCTGTGCTCTCTCGAAATCTGGGACCCCTCGGGGGATGTCAGAGAGCGGGTTTTGGCACAATCCCACAGTCCAGGCCAAGGGACCCCACTGGTACATGAATTTGTACACCAAGCCTCCAGTGTTATATTTATATTTATTATTATTATTTTTATTATTATTATATAATAATAATCTGGCCACTCAGTGAATATTTATATTTATTTTTAAAAAGAGAGGGGAGTTCCCCAAGGAAACCCAATAGAAGCATACAGTAACATTGGGCTGTGAAAGTGGGACTGGAAAAGAAGAGATGACTATCACAGACATTTCAAAGAAGAAATAATTGAACTTGCAATGAGTGGCTAGATGGGTGTTGCAGGAAAGAGGTAAACATGGGGTTATGAGGTTGGATGTCTAGGGAAAGGAGATGGGGTTCTACCAGCAAAGATGAAGACTTTTGAGAGACAAGTAGTTGGAGAGAGGGGAATGGAGAGTTTAAGTGAGTGCTGGTGCTGTGCTCACACTTCAAGTTACCAATGAGTTCTTTTTTTCTTTTTTTCTTTTTTTTTTTTGGTTTGAAGCACAGAATGATTTTTCCAAAGTGAAAATAAAGCTTCTCTACAATTGGGGCATATATATATATATACACACACATACATACACACACACACACACACACACACACACACACACACACACTAGAGGCCCGGTGCATGAAATTTGTGCACAGGGGAGGGAGTGGCACTCCCTCTATCCAACCTGCACCCTCTTCAATCTGGGAATCTCTGGCTCCTAACCTCTCACCTGCCTGCCTTCCCTAACTATATACTCACCAATGAGTTCTTGAAACCCAGCCCGGCATGAGAGAGCCAAAGCCAGGGGCCAAGGTGACCGGGAACTGAGGAGCATGGAGAAACTATTGGGGCAAATGGCCAGGGGTCAGAAACTGAGGAAATAATCAGGATTGGGGACTATATGGGATTCCAAGTAAGATTTGAGCAGACTGTCAACGAAGTGTTTTCAACTGTGAGTTCTTTCTGGAAGCTTTAGTCTTTCATTAGTTCAGAAATGTTTAGCCTTCTTATTTCATTATCTCCAGATTCTACTTAATAAGGATATAAAGAACTCCCCTTCTGGAGACTGTTAATGGGGTTAAAAGAAAAAAAGGCATCAGTTTATTTTATTTATGCACCTGAGAAAACCATTGTGTTTTTTTTTTATATATGAAGAAATGTAAATATTGAGTGTGAGGATTAAGCTTTTTCCTTCTCTGTATCTATCTGAGGCTAGAAAAGGACACACTCCTAGGAAACCAGGATAAAGGGGAAAATGACTTTGAGATGCACTTTCTTAAAATAACTGAAGGAGTGACCTCATGAGCCAGCGATAGCCTGGGTTTGCAAATGGATACATTTCTATTAGCTTGCTGCTTGATGCTGCAGAGCCAAATATAACGGAGTGTATTATATCATATCCTGGAGACGAGACTGTCTGGGAGAGGGGGGACTTAGAGAGGTGAAATGGCAGAGTCGGCACAAGAATTGGGAATATAAATACTATCAACTATAGCTTCCTTTAGTAGGTAAACATTGCTGATTTGGGCTCATGATTCCCTATTATGTGATCATTTCTATCATCTTCTGGTAGAATAATATTTAAACAAGAACACCTGATCTTTAAATA